ACGCCTGTTTTTCCGTTGGTACATTTTAGCAATGTGTACCGGATACCCTTATATATTATGGATTCCAAGTTTTAAGGTTAAGGGTATTTTAATAATTTAATAATTTTCATTCTCTCTCACTCCAACCTTTTCTCTGTCATTCCTACTCTAGCCCCAATTGAAAAAAATCAGAAACACATGCCTTTAAAAAAATTTCCTTTGTAAAGAGTTGAGTCATCACCTTCAAGGCAAATGTTCATTCAAGATCTATTCAATTTCACCATTTTCACTAACCTTTCTAATTTCATCATCTGTATTTGTTGAATCATCATCTCTAAAAAACCCTCCAAGTCAATTACCAATTCTTTCGGATGTCATTATGCTTGTGAAAATTAGATAAAATTATATACGACAAAAATTATAAAATGAAAACTCATTATAAAGTCATTTTTTGTAAGAAATTGTTTAACAGGTGTTTCTGATTTTTTTTCCAGGCCAATTACCAATTCCTTTGATGTCATTATGCTTGTAAAAATTAGATAAGACAAAAATTATAAAATAAAAACTCATTATAAAATCATTTTTTGTAAGAAATTGTTTAACAGCGAGTATTTCTGATTTTTGTCCAAGTCAATTACCAATTCCTTTATGCTTGTGAAAATTGGATAAAATTAGATAAGACAAAAATTATAAGATGAAAACTCATTATAAAATCATGTTTTTGTAAGATTGTTTAACAGCAAGTGTTTCTGATTTTTTCAATTGCGGCTACAGGGATGACAGGATGACAGAGAAAAGATTGGAGTAAGAAAGAGAAAAAAGAAAGGGTTGAGAGGAACGAGAGAGGAGAGTAAGGGTTTAGGAGATTTCTTTTTTTTTTTTTTTAATTTTGAGAATGAAAATTATTAAAATACCCTTAACCTTAAAACTTAGAATCCATAATATATAAGGATATTTTTGTCTACTAAAACTCGGTACACATTGCTAAAATGTACCAAACTGAAAAACAGGCGTACGCGCGTTAGCAAACCCATATATATATATATAAATATATATATATATATATATATATATATATATATATATATATATATATATACATATATCGGATATGCATAATTATTTTTAATCTAAATTATTTTTATTAATTTTAATAAATTCATAAAAAATAATTTATATTAATTAAAAATTATATTATTACTTATAAACTAATAAAAAATCATACATAATTTTAAAAATAATTATAAACTAATAAAATAATTAAAACAGTAATATTGATATCTGAAATTTTCATCCTCAGATCTGCACGTCCGATTTTTACAAATTCGAATTTTTGTATCCGATATGATATTAAGTTTATCTTTATTCAAAATCACATTTTATTAATTTTAATAAATTCATATAAATTAATTTATATTAATTAAAAATTATATAACTACATTATAAATTCGTAGAAAATCATATATAATTTTAAAAATAATTAGAAAATAATTAAATAATTAAATAAAAATATGAGATAAAAAACTCGAGGAAAAATATTATGAAAAAACTTAGTTCAAAGGTGTAGGTTTTTTTTTTATAAAGATGAAACTAGGTACAGGGATGCAAGGGTGTGCATGAGTGAAGGAATGCACAGGTGCAATAAGAATACATGTTTGGAGTCAATGCTGTGCATACAAATTCTCAATAATAAATTATTAAACTTTTAAATCACTTATTAATTAGGGACATTTTAGAAAATTTGAGGTATTTGGAGGTGTAGGATGAAATACTTAATATTTTATTGAATAAGCATTATATATAGATATGTTTATTTAATTATGAGATGATTTTTTTACTAAAAAAAATTATGTGTATTTGCATGAGAGAGATTTTGATATGTTTAATAAAATGTTAGTAGTAATATATAGATTTGTTAAAATAGGTTAAAATTTGTAAATCAATTTAGTTTGTTCGAGTTAGGTGGGATTAATTTTTTTTATGAATTTAGTACGAATCAGAATGGATTCGTTTTAAAGAAATTATTTAGTACGAATCAAAAATGGATTGGTCTATTAAGAACTCCACTGATGTGGTGAAACCGTTTTAAATATTTTAGATTAAAATTTGAAATTATTTATATTCAGTTTAAAATTATGATTTATTTTTTGAAATAAATAATTTATTTATTGTCTAAATGAGAAAAAATAAATAAAATACATTTGAACTTTTGGATTTTGTTAAATATTAAAAGAATGTTAGATTAAAAAAATAATAATTTTTTTAATCAAGTAAATAAATCTATTTAACTCACCAATCATAGATTAAATTCAAATGTCTTCAACTCCCTAATAAACCGGTCAGACTAAGTAAAACAAAGTTTCTTAATTAACTTCTTATGTATAGTTGTATTAATTAAATAATTTTTATTATTTGAATTAACATATAAATAATAATTTAATGTACAATTTAATTAAATTGTATGTCTACATTAAAACTAAGAAAATAATATTAGGAGAATTCTGCAAAACTTAGTAAAAACTGGAAAAGCGATTCTAGATTATATATTTGTAAAACCCGCAAAACATTTCTTTAAAAGAATAAAAAACTCACTTGTTTTAGAAAAATAAGAATGTGTATATTTTCCTCTTAAAAACTCTTTAACTCTACAACCTCACTATTTTGCCTTAGCTTTCTCACTTAAAAAAGTTAATCTTCTTTGTGATTAGGGATTGTGGTTATGTTCATAACAAAAAAACTCGTCTAACTGAACAAAATTTCCATTCGAGTAAATAAAAAAATTCGTTATATATTAGTATAATTATTTTGAATAACTATAATAATATAATTATGTGCATGTTTAATTAATATTTTGAAAAAAGCTATGATTATTTCTTTTATAAACTATAATAATATAATTATGTATTAGTATAATTATTTTGAATAAGTATAATAATATAATTATGTGCATGTTTAATTTATATTTTGAAAAAAAAAGCTATATAATTATTTCTTTTATAAACTTGTTTATTCTTTCTTATGTTTGTGTTGGTTCTTGTTCTGTAATGATTATTTTTAGTGGTGTGAGTAAATGAAAAACTACATGTGTTTATTTCAAGAGAAAAATGTTGATGCACTTATGTAAATATATGACAATGAGAACTAGGTTTAGATTCTATAAATATAGAAATGTAAGAACTAAGTTTAGATTTTTTATATAAAACTGATTATGTATTAGTATAATTATTTTGAATAATATAATAGTATAATTACGTGGATGTTTAATTCATATTTTGATAAAAAGCGAATCAACCTATAATATTATGTCTAATAAATCATATGATTTGATGAATCTAAAATGAGATTTTTCAAAGACACAAAAACGCATTATCCAAAATGAGATTTTTCATTTTTTAATTATCGAAAAGCTTAATATATCAAATGCACTTTTAAAAATTAACACTTCCTATAAACCATATTGTTGAAAAATATTTTTTAATAATTTTCTAAGAGAATTATTTTATTAAAAAATATAAACATAACCTCAAAAAGATAAATATGTAAGTAGTAAATATCATATTATTTGTATCGAATTATTTAATATAATAACAGGTTATTTTTTCATTAAAAGTAAACTTCCAATCTTTACCTTTTAGAAATACCGTATAAATGTTTTCAGTAATATTTATTTCTAATTGGATAATATTAGTTATTATTATATATTATTCAAAAGCATGGTTAAAGAGTATAAAAAGATTTATGGAGAAGTAAACAATCACAATATTAAGTAAGATATCTCCAATGTATAACTTCATATGAAATTTTAATTTATTTTTTATGGATATACATATATTACCTTTAACGTTTATTTAAAATATAATGTTTACATTTCAATTATTTTAAATTTTTTTATCATTAATTATAGTAAATATTATCTTTAATTAACTCATGTTATTTATATTACACTTTTTGTTTAATGACAAGTGAAAATAAATGTCTTACATATACATATTAGTTACTTTTTATGATAGTAAATAATAATAACATTATTAATATTTTTATTATTATAATTAAAAAATTAAATATAAATAATTTGTATAATTTTATTATTAATATTTTTATTTATTTTGTAGGTAATTTGTTAATTAAAAAGTTTAAAAACGGTCAAATTAAAAAACAGTAAAGTTTAAAAAAGAGCCAGGTAAAATTTGTAAATTAATTGTTTTAATTTAAATGGTTTTTATTTATTAGGTAAAACTGAAAATAAAATATAAAATCTTAATCTTAAATTATTTTTATATTATAACTTAAGAGCTCAAAATAGAATCTATATACAGTTGCAGAATTGTAATCCTTTCCGTAGTGATGCTTATTTTGAGTGTCATCCTTATCATCATAGTACACGTGGCAAATCTTTATTCGTTAACGTAGGGATATTTTTGCAACCGCCTCTCACAAAAAAGCTATAAATATAACCCTCCCTCTAATCTTTGATGCATCGCTCTAATATCGGTTTATAGTTCCTAATTCTTGATCTCAGCACATCTTTGATAGCATTTTTTATCCTCTCAAGGTACTTCTGGTTCTTCTTTTTCATCTTTTTCCTCACCCTGATGGGATTAATTTCAATTGATTGATTTTGCCTTGGGATTCGTTGATAATCGTACTCTCAATCCGATGTTTTCAATTGGGAATGTTTGATCTATGCTTACTGGTTTTATCATCTTTGAATTAGATTCATGCAATTGTTTTCGATTCTGAGATCTACGAATTTAATTAGCATATTTTCCGATTTTCGTTAGGGTTTTATGTTTTCAATTTCTTGAGGATTTAGGGCTTTGAGAATTTAGCCCTAAATCCTCAAAGAGGATTTAGTGTCTACGTTGTTCTTGATGGATTAGTTTGTGATTGAACAGATGCAGATATTCGTGAAAACTTTGACTGGCAAAACCATCACCCTTGAGGTTGAATCCTCCGACACCATTGATAACGTGAAAGCAAAGATTCAAGACAAGGAGGGTATCCCACCTGACCAGCAGAGACTTATCTTTGCGGGTAAGCAACTCGAGGATGGTCGCACTCTTGCGGATTACAACATCCAAAAGGAATCCACTCTCCACCTCGTGCTTCGCCTCAGGGGTGGCATGCAAATCTTCGTCAAGACTTTGACTGGGAAAACCATTACCCTTGAGGTCGAGAGTTCAGACACCATTGATAATGTAAAGGCCAAGATCCAAGACAAAGAGGGCATCCCTCCAGACCAGCAGAGGCTGATTTTCGCTGGGAAACAACTCGAGGATGGAAGAACCCTTGCTGATTACAATATTCAGAAGGAGTCCACCCTCCATTTGGTGCTTCGTTTGAGAGGCGGCATGCAAATCTTTGTCAAGACTTTGACTGGGAAGACCATAACCTTAGAGGTGGAGAGTTCAGATACCATTGATAATGTGAAAGCCAAGATTCAGGATAAGGAGGGTATACCCCCAGACCAGCAGAGGCTTATCTTTGCCGGGAAACAGCTTGAAGATGGAAGAACCCTTGCGGATTACAACATCCAGAAAGAATCTACCCTGCACTTGGTTTTGAGGCTTCGTGGGGGAATGCAAATTTTTGTAAAGACGTTGACAGGAAAGACCATTACTTTGGAGGTTGAAAGCTCTGATACCATTGATAATGTAAAGGCAAAGATTCAGGACAAAGAGGGGATTCCACCAGACCAGCAAAGGCTTATCTTTGCTGGGAAGCAGCTAGAAGATGGGCGAACCCTTGCTGATTATAACATCCAGAAGGAATCTACTCTGCACTTGGTGTTGAGGCTTCGTGGTGGAATGCAGATATTTGTGAAGACTCTGACAGGAAAGACCATTACCTTGGAGGTGGAGAGTTCAGATACCATTGATAATGTGAAAGCAAAGATTCAGGATAAGGAGGGGATTCCACCAGACCAGCAAAGGCTTATCTTTGCTGGGAAGCAGCTAGAAGATGGGCGAACCCTTGCTGATTATAACATCCAGAAGGAATCTACTCTGCACTTGGTGTTGAGGCTTCGTGGTGGAATGCAGATATTTGTGAAGACTCTGACAGGAAAGACCATTACCTTGGAGGTGGAGAGCTCTGATACAATTGATAATGTGAAAGCAAAGATTCAAGACAAGGAGGGCATTCCACCAGATCAGCAGAGGCTTATTTTTGCTGGGAAACAATTGGAAGATGGTCGCACCTTGGCAGACTACAACATTCAGAAGGAATCCACCCTCCACCTTGTTCTTCGCCTTCGCGGTGGCTTCTAAGTTTTTCACTTTTCACCAACTGTTTGTTTCGTTGTACTCTTGATCAGCAGATTGTGTATGTACTGCTGTTGTGTTTTTAAACTGATCCCCTGAACTCGTGTGTTCTTCAAATCAAATAAAAAATATCTTTCTCGTTTCACACATTACTTTTAGAAATTTGCATCACTCTTTCATTCTTAAATTTTGATCAAATAGATTACTTTTTCTAGGAACTGAAATTTGATATAAAGGTAGAAATAAATATTGATAACTAGTTACCCCGGAATGGGCTCTTAAAGGATCTTTCTATGTCATAACTTCCTCACATCTTGGTAATGAAAAGAAGGAAGAACCATATTGATTACTCTTTTAGTCGATTATGATGTCGTTCTGTCTCGAAGGTTCGTGTTGTTTTAATCGCTAGCATGGTCAAACTTTGCTTGCTGCTGCTGTTGTATTCTGTGGTGGATAAATCCTTGTATAAAGATTAGGGACGGTTCAAAACCATTGAATTGCACTAAACTTCAAATAGCTAAATCATATTAACAAAATCTTCTATTTAAAATTATCCTGAACTTTAATCGTGTAAAATAAGCTATTTTAGAAATATCGTCGAGTGCACTCTATCCAAATTAGAGATAATCCTTTTAACGAATTTTAGAGTAAAGTTTAATCGAGTTTAAAAATTTGAATTCTTCATTACCTTAAATAAAGTTTGTAGGTATGTCGCCTTTGTTTTTCGATGTATTTTTATGAAACATGGTTTATTTTGAATGCTATCAAACTAACATTGGATAAATGAATCATTAAGTATGGAATGAGTTAGGTTGTCTCATTAATTATTATTTACTACTAAATTAGTATTAAAATATCTATTTTAATATTAATTTTGGTAATGAATTTTCTATTTTTTAGTGATGATAGAAGGTATATATATATATATATATATAGTATTATAAAAATAAGATACGTATTTCTTAACTTTGTTATTTTTACCTTTCAATAAATGAAATAATTTTTTTATTTTATAAAATATCTAATTATATTTTTTTATCTCTTAAGTATAAATGCGCAACTTTCCTACCTAAAATAATAACACATATTTTTCTTAATTTATGAATTATTCTTCTAAAATTATATATCTTTTCAAAACTATAGTAGAAGTGTTTCAGTAGCATGTGTGTAGCATGCAAACTTGTTTCCTTTTCAATGAAGTTTTTCCTTACTTAGATATTAAGCACAAAAAGATAAATTTAGTGCGGCCTCTACCTTTGCTCAAATTAGGCTGCATTCTTCTCTGTCAACTCTTCATGATGAAGAGTGTAGTTTTTTTATTGATACATATATTCTATTTTAAAGGTTATTGGATGCATCCACGTTGATTGTAAAACGAAGATTTACGATGATTTAGAATTTGAATTAACATGTAAGATTCATTAGGACAAAATATGATAATATAAAAAGTCTTTCAGCATAAAAAATATAATATTTTATTTAAATATATAAGGATGCTATAATAATATTGTCGGTTTTTATTTTTGTTTTCTTCTTATGTTATATTTTTTTTTTCTTTCAGATTTTATATCTCAAACCCTTAATTTTTATTTCTCAGTAACTTCCGAGATCATGTCTCCTTCTAGATGTTTTCTTCGAGGATTCACCTCTTTTTTATTTGATTTTCATATAATCTTAAAGTTTAGAAAATATCTCATGGATTTAGATTGACATCATACTTAGAGAGGGTATATCATGGTGTTTCCTTTTCCATAAATCTCATTTTATTTTCATGAATCTGAACCTTTTTATACATTTCTATATAAATCACTTTCATTTTTTTTAAGAGAACTTACACTTTCTTTGGGTGAGAGGTAAGAAGTGATGGATTAATTTCAAATAATAAACTCATCAATCTCTTAAATGACCTAGTTAAATAAAAACATATTTTTTTTCTTTGGTAATTTGATTTTATAGATATTATAACTGTCAATAAATAGACTTTCTCTTTGTAACCATTAATATATAGAATTTATTATTAATTTTTTATTAATATAAATTAATTTTTATTACTTTACATTAAAAAATTATAAAGTTTTTTAAACTCAATTAATTATTTATAATAAAAAATTATATATGATAAAATTATAAAAATGATTTATTGTATAAATTTAGTAATATTTTTATTATTTTAATGATTATGATAAAATTTATATTTTATTTTTTATTATAGTAAAAGAAAGTGTAAACACATGTTTCCAATAGTTTTAAGGTTATGATTATTTTTTTCTTTTAATATTACAAAACATCACTTTCATTATTATTATTATGATGGTCATTTGACTCTTTTAAAAGAATTTACAAATAGTAATAACACGTGTGAAATAATCTTTTTATTTTAAAAAGAGAAGATACTAATTCAAGAGTCAAACATTTGTGATTAACTAAGTTAGAAGCAAAATATAGAATTTGCCAGAACATTGTAGAGAGAACGTAATCCGTTGCGTCTGTAAATTGTAATGCTTGTCGTGCCGTGTCAGTGACCACGCCATACACGTGTCAAATTTGTATTCGCTACTTTATTGATATTTTTGTCAATGAGTCGTCGTCCAACCTATAAATACGACTCACCATTCCCAACCTTCATACATCGATCATTGCAATTCTCAATCTTTCAGCCCTAAATTCCCAATCTCGCAGTTTCTTGATCGTTTGGACGTTCTCTTTTTTCTTTCAAGGTATGTCTCTTCTTTCTCTCCCATTCTTATCTTAGGTTCAGTTTCTTCTGTAATCATCGTATTGTCGTACCGATCTTTTTGTTTCTTTTAATTGTGTTGATAGAGCTGTCTTTTGGATTCTGCTATCGAGTTGTTGCGTGTATTGAATTTATACCGATATTTAGTTAGAAGATGTTTAAATTATTTTTTTCATATATTTATGGAATTCAATTTGTGGTTTAATTGTTTTATGTATATTTTGGAGGAATTAGGGTTTGTCGTTTGATTGAATTGCCTATCTCTGTCACTGTTTTGATGATTTAGTTTCTGGTTGTACAGATGCAAATCTTCGTGAAAACTTTGACCGGAAAAACTATCACCCTCGAGGTGGAATCCTCCGATACCATTGATAATGTGAAGGCTAAGATCCAGGACAAAGAAGGTATCCCTCCGGATCAGCAGAGGCTGATTTTCGCTGGTAAACAACTTGAGGACGGAAGAACCCTTGCTGATTACAACATTCAAAAGGAGTCCACTCTCCACTTGGTTCTTCGTTTGAGGGGTGGCATGCAAATCTTTGTCAAGACTTTGACCGGGAAAACTATTACCTTGGAGGTGGAGAGTTCAGATACCATTGATAATGTCAAAGCCAAGATTCAGGATAAGGAGGGTATTCCCCCAGATCAGCAGAGGCTTATCTTTGCTGGGAAACAGCTTGAAGATGGAAGAACCCTTGCAGATTATAATATCCAGAAGGAGTCTACTTTGCACTTGGTTTTGAGGCTTCGAGGTGGCATGCAAATTTTTGTCAAGACTCTGACGGGAAAAACCATTACCTTGGAGGTTGAAAGTTCTGATACCATTGATAATGTAAAGGCTAAGATACAGGACAAAGAGGGGATTCCACCAGACCAGCAAAGGCTTATCTTTGCTGGGAAGCAGCTAGAAGATGGGCGTACCCTTGCTGATTATAACATCCAGAAGGAATCCACTCTTCATTTGGTGCTAAGGCTTCGTGGTGGAATGCAGATTTTTGTGAAGACTTTAACTGGGAAAACCATAACTTTGGAGGTTGAAAGCTCTGACACTATTGACAATGTAAAGGCAAAGATTCAGGACAAGGAAGGCATCCCACCGGACCAGCAGAGACTTATCTTTGCTGGGAAGCAGTTGGAAGATGGGCGTACCCTTGCAGATTATAACATCCAGAAAGAATCCACTCTGCACTTGGTGTTGAGGCTTCGTGGTGGAATGCAGATATTTGTGAAGACTCTGACAGGGAAAACCATTACCTTGGAGGTGGAGAGCTCGGATACAATCGATAATGTGAAGGCAAAGATTCAGGACAAGGAGGGAATCCCACCAGATCAGCAGAGGCTTATTTTTGCTGGGAAGCAATTGGAGGATGGTCGTACCTTGGCAGACTACAATATTCAGAAGGAATCTACCCTGCATCTTGTCCTTCGCCTTCGCGGTGGTTTCTAAGCTGAGACTCATGTCTATTATGTCCAGTGTCAATTGAAATCGTGTGTTGCAGTTCCTGGTTGGGTGTTTTTCTTATGTTCTAAGACTGGTATATGTGTGTGTCATCGCTATTGTTTGTTAACTACTACGACATAGTTTTTTATATATATGTATATGTTGGTAATATATTTTTTTTTATATATACTATATATATGTGAGTATTTTATATATTTGTTTGTTGCTTAAATAAGCCTCCAGCTTGTGCCGTTTTCTGATTGTTTTATTGCGGACATTTGTTTCCTTCTACCTTTATTTTATATTCTTGCTTTTCTTTCATGTAAACTCTTGCCTATTATTCAATAACAAACTGAAGTTTATCAATGCCACAATAAGATGGTTCTCTCTTTGGTGTGTGGGAGAGTTGTAACATGATGGTTCTTTTATGAATTACATGATCTCTCAATGCTTGGATTGTCCAAAATTCACAAGAGATATCTCAGAAGATTTAAGAGAGATTCTGCAAGGGGGACTAGCGTTAATTGTGATTCAATGAAGATTGTGGCTATGTACAGGGAAGTGTTTATTTTCTTAAAGGATTTGTAAAAATCTACATTCCAATCTTAAAGGATTTGTAGAAATCTACACTCCGATCAAGATTGAGGTACTTCTTATGAAACATTTTCGTTCCAAGTATTAACAGTTTTACCCCTAAGACAACTTACCCCGATAAATGCTTTTGATGGACAGAACTTAGGACAAAATAGTCGGAGATGATAGGAACGTGGTAGAAACAGCTTGAGACTTCAAGGAAGAGGAAGAAATTAAAATTATTGAAAGTAGTGCTGTACTGTTATAGAATGAATCGCAAAATGTTACTTCAAATATGGTTTCCTAGCTTGGCACAAATATCAACAATGTCATCTAAGGTACTAATACCTCACCCACAAATTCAAAACTAGTTAATTAATATGTAAACACTATCAAGATAGCAATTTGAATAACAAACAATTCATCTTACTTCTCTCACAAATTAAAAAACAAGTGAATAATAAATAACCATGGAGATAACAATAAGAATAACAAATAATTGATCCCCGAACTAGGATAATAAATGTTTAAGATTTTACAGGATTCAACAATGAATTCTTTATACAAAGTTAACTAAATCACTGGTGTTAATTGTGAGCCTTCAACTAAGAATAAAAGAATGGTAAGCATTTTCAAAGTTCTTAGATTCTTCATACAATGTTGCCTGCACACTAAAATATTATATAAGTTTCTGGATACACAATTAAACATGTTAATACATTTATAAAAATATTGATTTTCATGTTTAACATTATATATTGGGATATGGTTCAAACAAAATTATATAACATATTTGCAAAGCTTTTTCTTACGTAATCTAATCCCGAAAAGATGTGATATATATACCATTTAACTCAACATAATAAACTACTTTCCATAAAAAGAAATACTTTTAGTCATGTTTTCTATTTGTTATGTTTGAATACGAAATTCTTTCTATCGTATTTTATCGGTCAAATTCTTATTGAAAGAAATAAATTTGTCAAAACGGGTTTTAAAATTTTAATTAGTAGTAAATTTGTTAGTAAAATTGATAGGTAAATTAAAATTAGTTATCAATAAAAATATGTTTAGTAATAGGTTTGTTTATAAAATTTATTGATAATTCGTGATTCTTTATTAATATAATTTTTATCAGTAAATCATTAGCAAAATCATTTTTTTCTTGATTATTTTGTAGTAAATTTTTTGATGATAACATATATTTTATAAATTTATCAGTTGATAATTACACTTTTTATAGAACTTGTCGATAAACTTGATGGAAATTTTTAAATATTTGTCGGTAAATTAGTTAATAATTTAGAATTTTAATTATTAACAAATTTTTTAATTGTAAAATGAATATCAAAATTTTCACTAATTTTAATTTTTCTTTTATAAATTAAGTGAGATAGGTAAAAGAAAGAAAAAAAAAGAGAAATATAAGAAGAAGAATGAGAAGGAGTGAGAGGCAATTATAATAGCAAAAGGGAAGACAAATAGCTAAAAACAATGATGCAACGACTATATTATGATAATGGTGCAACCATGGTGTAGCAGCAGAGGCCATGACATTAGCATAGGTGAGGGTGGAGATGGAGGAGAAAAAGAAGAAGAAAAAGAAAGAGAAAAAGAAGAAGAAAAAGAAAGAGAAAAAGAAAAAAGGAAAAGGAAGAAGAGGAACTAAGAGTGATAACTGACGCAGTTTTGCCGGTGGCAGAGGAAGAAGAAAAAGTGAGAGAAGAGAGAAAAAAAAAAAGACACGATTATAATATTTAGCGACAAATTTTGTGGATAGCTAAAATAATCTGTCAATAATTATACTAATAAATGATTATTGATAATTTTTTTATCAGTAATTGATAAATATTTATTAATTAATTTGTAATCATTAATATATATATTTTAATAAAATTTGTCAACTAAATTTTATTTAAAAATTTTGAAAAAGTTATGAGAAATATTTATAATTCAGGTTGCTCAGAAGTTGATGTCATCAATTTATTTATTAACCATGATCAATGATTTCATTTAAATATTAATTAAAATTTAATTTTATGACGCTATTTATTTTTTATAATAAAGTTATTGATGAAAAAATATTAGCAATTGAACTTGTTTAATTTAATTTTATAAATATGTTTTAATTTAAATTTATAAAATTAAGCTTATTTTTAGAGAGATGGTTTTTTTAATGGTAATTTATTTGTTGAATTTATTTCTCATTTATTTGATTTTTTTTTAGAAAAAAACCCACTTCTATTAATACACAATTTAATTTCAATTATATTGAGAATCTAAAAGAAATAACTGTTTAGATTAAAAAGAAATATTTGTAGGGATGTCAAATGGGTGTAGTGCGAGGAATAGGTTATATGGAACGGACATCATAGATTGGATCCATAATCCATTATTATCTCCATTTCTATAAAACAAGTTTCTTTTGAAGGATTTAAACAATTAAATATTCGATTGAATTTTATATTTTATTTCATTTTCACCGACTGTTCTATTTTTCATTTTCATTCTTTTTTATTCTTTTATCGTAAGTCAACGTCCATCGATGATATTTCGAACATGTTCCTTTGTATAGATGGTAGGTCTGAGATCCCACATGCTGCATAAATCTTGGGAACTACTTTTACCATTCTCGAATCAATTAGTTTAGAGTTCAATAATATAGTTTATAAATTATCGCAAATTTAAGTGTGAATTTAAATTAAAAATATTCATAAATATATTTTAGTTTGAAAATGCTAACCTCTTATATGAATTCATCTAAATCTCACAGCTTTCTGAATTTTTTTTAATGGTTGTATCTTTATGGTCCATCACAAGAACACCACCTCTTGGAGAGTGTTCTCATAACATAAGTTCAAAGATCACCAATTCATATATTATCATAAAATATCGATAGTACACTCACAATATATAACACATGTTCATCTTCTCTGCACTTGCTGATTCGCTTGCTTAATTCACTGATATCTTGACAATGATTTGCAACTCTAGATCTGCGAAACTTGCAAGAGACATCTAAGAAGAAGGGTCATAATGACTCCTACTAAGCTGGGCATGGTTGTTGATGTTCTGAGAATCTGCAATCATAGAGGAAACGGCTGCTTCTAAGGCTGCCCTAAGAGAAGGATCCCTAGTGATGGCAGCACTAAGAACATCGACCAAGGAAAGGTCTTTCTCTGAAGGTAATCCTTCGTACTTGTGAGGGTAGGCATTGATTGAAAGAGGGAAAGTTTGAGAATGGTTTGAAGTTGGGAATTTGAGGTAGTTCTTAGTGGGCTGGGTTAAGTCAAGTGTTACAGTGGGACAAGATGATGCAGATGGATAGTAGGTAGAAGCTGAACTGGTGGTCGAGCCAGAAAGGAACATGGTGAGTGCTGCTGATGTTGTGGAAGCCATGGATCTGGCTGGTGGAGGGAGTGAATGATTATGAGTCCCCTCGTAGGTTGTGATCACAACACTTTCATCGGAAGCACACCTTTGAACCTGTTTCCAAGTAAATAACAACGTTGGACAATGAAAATGCATGTATTTGGTAGCAAATAAGAAGGTAATATATTCAAATCTTAATCAGAATGTAAACCTGTTTGCGAACTGGACATGATGTTCCCATGTTGCAACGATAGTAGGCCCGTGGACAAGGGTTACCCTTTGATATCTTTTGTCCATATTTTCTCCATTGACACCCATCACCCTTCTAACAATAACATGTCAATGCATAGTTATATACATATATCTATATATGCTTTATTCAATGTCATATTTTATTTTTATTGGTTGCATCAAATTTTTATAAAACTTAAAATAAAAATTAAATTTTAGCTCTTTGGGTTAATTGGAGATAATGAAATCACCCTTACTCACTTCATGGCTTTAAAAGTAAATTAATATCAGCAATAGATCAATGCCTTTTTTTATTTACCTTTTCTTTTTTCTTGTTGAGAACCGAAAAACTAGCATGATTGTTGAGCTTTTGATCAAGTTAATTTTTAGTTTCTCCCATGAAAATTAAGTCATATATATGTTAATTAGGACATTTTGGATGGAGTTGCTTTCCACATTTAAAAAATATAAAATATGAATGTAATTAATTATCTTTCTTAAACAACCCACACTTAATTTTGCTTCAATAAAACAAATCTATAGACAAAAATTAAAATAACTCTTCATTTTCTATATTTTTCTTTTATCTTGATTTTATATTATTGAGAGACAGTAATGATGAAAACATCTTATCACAATGAAGAATATTGAAGGTTTTGTCAGGTCTATTGACGAGAAGTTCATTGAGGAGACATAAACACCAATGAGATAACTTTTTATCCAATGTTATGGATTAATGAGTCTTTCACTTTTATATATTGTTCTACTTTCTTTTTTCTATCTAATGTGGGATTTAGACTCACATTTGGATTTTCAACAATCTCTCCCTCAAGAGTGAGTCCCTTCCACGCCCAACCATATAACGGATTGACACTATGGATCTTTCACCTTTATATATTGTTTTACTTTCTCATTTTTATCCAATGTAGGACTTAGACTCACAATTGGATTCTAATAATCTCTCCTTCAAGAGTGAGTCCCTTCTACATAGATACACTTTCCCAC